TTTTCTCTCAGATCACAAAGCTTGTATCATATAACTGAAGGTGGGGGTCAGGGGATTGGAGTTGTGGGGATTCCCTCTAGTGATTTCCTTTAAAACAGACCTAGAGGGTGAAAGTGAATACAAAACAACTCAACAAAGCAAAAAAAAAAAAAAGAATGTGCTTTAGCTGCAAGTTGTCTACACATCTGTAAATCTCTGAATTTCATAAAAAAAAAAAGGAAAAAAGAAAAACAGAGAGACAGTGAGCGCATGAGCCTGCAAAGGGGAGCACATAGCCTACAGCCATGAGCAGACAGTAGCACCAAGGACCGCTGCGGGGCCGTACACTGATTCTGCGCTCGCTCGCGTGCTCTCTCGCTCTCTCTCTCGCTCTCTCTCTCTCTCTCTCTGTAAAAATGACTGATGATGTTAATAAGTAAGGTATGTATAGATACATAAAGCTAGGCGAACTATTCCCAAGCAGGCAGCTGGGGCGGGGGAGGGCAGTAGAGCCGGGTGGGGAAAGGGCTGGGGCTGGAGCTGGACTTGTATGGAAAACTTCTGGCCCTTACAAAAAGTCTTTTGAGGTAAGAGTTTCAGTGTCTGGGAACCCGCATGCCGCCCTCTCTACTGGGCCACATCCCCAAAGGCTCAAGGCTGGAGTGTGGGGAGGCCAGGTTGTTGGGTCTCGGAGCGCACACCCCCGACCTTGGCCCCCTGGCTGCACCAGCCCTGTCGGCCTCCAGGCACGTGGTCCTGTCTGTTGGTGGCGTGCGCCTTGAGGCATACCCGGTTACAGGCTCCTGCTCCAGGCATCCACTCCTGGGCTCCCATGGGAGCTGGCGCCTTCTCGCAAGCCTGCTGCCCACCCAGGACCAGTGGCCACCTGGGAAAGCAAGGCCAGAAGAGACCATAACCCTGGAAGAGAGGCCGGCACATTCCGGAGCGGAGGTGTAGTCTAACCATAGTGTCCCGGGCGCTGGGCTCTGGTGGGCGCAGCGAGCCGGGAGCCTCCATCCACTGAGGCCAGGCCGTGGTCACTCTGAGCCGCTGCTGTCGGAGCTGGAGCCGCTGGAAGGAGGAGCTGCTGCTAAGCCATAAAGCCCCCTCCCCAAGGGTGCCGGGCCAGACTTCTCTGTCCTGGCCGGCTTCTTGCCGCTGCCCAGCTGCCCGCACACATCCCGCAGCTTGCTCTCCAGGTCCTTCTCCTGTGCCAGCTTCTCCTCCTGTGCCAGCTCCTCCTTCGACTTGGCCACCTGCTTCTTCCCGCTGGCCGGGATGCCTAATGCAAGTGTAGATATGACTTGGCAAAATGCTAACCATCGTTGAATCCACATGGAGAATTTGGGGGGGGGGGTGTCTGTGGCACTATTTTTCTACTTTTCTGAGTGTTTGAACTATTTCCTGACTGTGCGAGTGGTGAAGCGAACGCCGATGTCCTCTTAGGGAAGGCAGTGTGATAGGACCTGGTAAATGAGCCTGAGCGGGCCTTGTGGTTGGGGAAGAACCCGCAGGTGATGGCGGCCCCTGGGAGCACTGCTCACCTGCCGGGCCTTCCTGGCTCCCCCCTAGATAGTCCTGCAGGAGCCATGCGGGAGGATGTTGTACCAGCAGTGCACCACTCCACAAATTCCCTTGGACAGCCAGCTATGTGTGTGAGGGGAGTGGCAGGGGAGAGTTCCACTGCAAAAAAAAAAAAAAAAAGTAAGGCTGGATACGTTTACAGTAGAGAAAAATCTGTTGGATATTTGCTGTCAGTGTCTCGGGATTGTGAACTATAGCAACCTAAATAAATGACCACTCCCTCATTACTCATTGGAGCACAGTATTACTTAAAAGTAATCTACTGTCTTACTGTAGTCAGCTCACACTTGTTTTTGTTGTAATTTTTGTCTGTTCATAAGGCCTCTATATTTTTAATAGTTATTTTTGAGAAGTTACTAATGTAGAAGACAAAATAAAATAGTGAACAGAACCTTTCTATCATAAGCTATTACTGGGCCCTCCCCACTCCTTTTTTTTTTTTTTTTTTTTAAATCTGGCAAGCAACCAGGTGAGCCAGAAAGAAGTTAATGGGATAACAAATCATTTTCATTGAGGCTTTGGAGATAGTTGAAGGGTGGATGTGAAGCAACTCTTAACAAAGTGCAGGAGGCGGACGGCTTCACGGCAAGTGGACACATAGGGCTGCTTCCAAGGCCCGACGTGCTCTTAAGCAATGTAGAAGCATATGTTTTTTGTTAAAATGCACACACCTGAAGACTCATGGTTGAAAGATGCTTTTCTTGCAAAGCCACTCACCCTCTCACTCATCTCTTCCTGTATCCCAAAGCAGCCCTGTCAGATTAGGAGGCCCGTGATAGCCTCCGAGCACACAGGCACGCTCACACGTGCCGTGTAGTGTTTGAATGTCATCATTGGGTAGTTTTTACATGGGAAGGTTCCCAGTTGAAGATGTCCATTTGCTTCTCTGCCCTCCCCCTCTGCCCCTTCAGTGCCCTGACTCCGGTTTTGGAGTGTGATAAGCTGGGAGCTAATACCCCAAGTCAGGCAAGCAATGGACTTCCTTGGATTCTTTGCCAAATGGGTTAACTTTAGAGAGAGCCCAAGGTTTTTACTGTAGCCCTGGGCATAAATGAAAAAAACTCCTAGCGGTCTGTTGAACTCTGTGAAGTGGATTCCCTGAGAGCGGAGATGAGAATGTGGTCTTTATCAGGGCCTGTTATCTGAGCACAAATGAAGTGCATCTCCCTGAGGTTTCCGCAGCTGTACTTTTCTGTTTATGTATTGAATTTGGTTTGCCATGAGAATTGACACAAGTTCCTATCGTGTTTAATCTCTCTTCCTATTTCTCCAATAATCATGCCTATGACCAATGGAACTGGTACTAAGCAGCTGCTAATCTCTTTTACACATTACATTTGCTGGTTAACTTGGAGGTGCTGTTGGGCCAGGTTATTGTTTTCCATTGAAACCACTAATAATAAGATGCCAGTTTGGGAATGATTTTAGCAAGCTTCTGTCTTTGGCACTGGGGGCGGGGAGGTAGGAAGCAAGCAACTCAGTTCTCCTGGTAATTTCAGTAATAAATCATTAAGAATCGATGGTTTACTGTGGTTCCTCCCATCCCACCCCAGTAGGAGAAGGTGTCATCTTGAGAGTTCATTGTTGCGCAAACCAAATGTGATATTTCTGAAAACGCTATCTGAATCGTAATCACTTTAAGTTGTTGATCAGTAAAAACAATGGCTTCATTAGATGCCACACGGGTCTTGCAAGTTATTGTTCCATCTTTTCAAGAGTCACATAAGTTGTGACTTGAAAGCTACTTTTAAATTTTGAAATGTGCGTTTGTGAGTCCCAGTTGCCAAGGACTCCTCAGCCCCTCACCCCATCCCCAGTGGTAGGACAAATAAACAGATGGAAAAGTGACTTCCACTCTCTGAGTGACCTAAGGAATGAAATATTTGTTTTAAAGCTCTCTGTAATGCCAATGGTGTGCACATTTTGTTTGACATTTTAAGCAGAAAAAAGCCACATGACCATAATGCAGTGCATTTTCAAGTGTGTTGGGGGAAAAAAAATATATTTCATCTCAGTAAATCTGGAGATTATCCTTTCATAAATGTCACTTAGTTCACAATCCGCGTGACCCAAGCAGTTATGCTGTCGGAGTGTAACTTGTTTAGACAGAGCCTCAAGTCTCTGCTCGCTGGTGACCTGGATCCTTCTGCAGGAGTGTGAGCCAAACACTACGGGAACACTTCAAAGTGTGTCCTTTGGGTGTCTGTGATTTCAGAAAAACCGTAGCCATGGACCTGGGGGGCTCCTGCTTCTCTTTGAGTGATCTGATGGTCTGGGGGTCGCTTCATTCAACTCTTACCCTCTCCAGGACTGCACTGGGGAAGCAGTGTCTCCCTGGAGTAGTCTCCCTGCCTGCAGCCCTAGCCTGTCCCTTGGGTGTCCCTTCCAGTTCTTCCACCCAATGCTCGCCAGTGTTACCTGAGAACATCCTCATTCGACCTTTCCAGAAAATCATGGACAGATCGGTTTATACTTGTAGAGAAACTGGAAGAGAGAGGGAAGGAGAAAAGGATTTATGCTGCTGCTTTCTGTGAATCATCCTATAAAATGAATGGTAATGTGTCACACTTGCACAGAAGCCTTCGGCCCTGGCTTCTTTCCCTTAATGTGGTGCTTGTGAGATTTATTTCTGTTATTGCTTGTAGTTGTAGCTCATTTTTTTAGGGGTGTTGTCATATTTCACTGCATAACTCTCTTCCGATTTTGAGACACTACTGATGAGCATTTGCATTTGTTCAGAGACTGGTGGGAAGAGTGCTGTTATGAACACCGTAGGTGTCTACTTAATGCTCAGGCACGTGGTTGTACCAACTTGTACTCCTACTAATAAAGCATGAGAATTCTAGTTGTCTTACTGCCCTGGCAACACTCTGTGCTCTGGTTGGTTTTTTGTCTTTTGTTTTTTTCCCCCTTTTAGGCTATTTTGGTGAGTTGAGGAATTTCTGGTTGTTGTTGACTCATGTAACATTTCTTTTCATCTTACGCTATATAAAGACTTGGCTCTACTTGAGTTGGAATAAATTACTGACAGGCACGATACACTTATCTTCAAAATATTAATGATTCTTTTCATGAGCTAATTAGTATTGGATATCAGAAGGTGGCCAAGTTCTGTGCAGCAGCTCAGACTGAATTACTCACCCTACCTGGAAGCCCTGATCTTTGGGCCTGGTACATGTCCTCACTGACACCATTCTGCTGATGAAGTAACTGCGTCACTTCAGGAACTAGGGACCATGCTAGGGTCATGCCTTCTGCAGGAACCAGGAGAGGCATGCTCACCCTTTCCTCCCAAATGATACCCTCTAGCGAGCCTTTTATTCTTTTATTGGCTAAACCATTGTTAAATGTATATTGGATGGTAGGGTGGGCCTCTGGAGTTCAATGGTACATGAACTTATGGGAGGATGTTCTCTCTTTTTTTTTTTTTTTTTCAGGTTACGGCTTTCAGATCACAGCCTATTTCCTCAAGAGAGGCATACGCCTGCACTGTATCAGAGGTTCAGCAAATTCTGGTAAGAAACTGAGCCCTTGGGGCCCCAGGCACCTCACACACTCAGCTTGTTCCCCTTGCAGCATCAGGCAGCTCACACACTCAGCCTGTGCCCTTTGGAGAATGAGGCACCTCTCACACTCGGCCTGCCCTGCCCTCCTTGTTATGCCAGATACCTGACACCATCAGCCTGCCCTCCTTGGAGCACCACGCACTTCCCACACTCGGCCTGCCCTAGAGAAGGGAAGAAAATTAAGGAATGGAAATTCCTACTTGTTTCATTGCTTTTATGTCATTGAGGGTTTCCAAACATCTGTAGTTCCCCTCCTACAGCTTGTTCTGTTTTTACTGCTGTTTGGAGAACAGTGAGCAGGGCCACACTGTGCTTTGCTTTCCTGATGCATTTCAGCACTTTCTTTGGGTTTCCAGAGTGACTCGGCACACACCGCCGAGCCGTGAATCATTTCCTCGTTCTCGATGCGCACCAAGGACCTGGGGAACAGAGCAGGTGGGCACATGAGCAAACACTTTGCCAGTCCAGATCTAACAGAGCATTCCCTAGGTGTGAGCCAAGGCCAGTCCTCCCCACCCTCAACTTCCCCCAATCAAGATGTCCACTGAGGGAATGAAGTCAGACTTGTCCGGCCAACAACAATAAAACCAGAAGCTAACGACTATCGTCTGAGTTGATCTGAGCGCTGGAAAGAAAATGTAGCTTAATTCCTTGGACAGCTTCAGTCTGGGTGTCAGCTATGAACCAGGGACTGAGAATTCCATAAGATTTGCTCGTAGAATTGTCACAATTATCAGCACCTTCTTCAAGTGTTGCTCAAATGTATTACTCTCTTAATGAGGCCTTTGAGTTTGTCCAACTCTTAACAAAGTCAGTTAAATGTGTGTCTGTTAAAATACGAATTACTTACTCTTCATGGCAGGAACTGTCATTACCAAAATCTGCAATTTCTGTAAATATTAAAATAATGTAACTGTCAATCAGTGTAGGAGTTGCTTTCTGTTCAACATCTGCCACCAAAATGTCTAAAAAGCTGCTAGCATTTTTCAGAGGAAGAAATGGAAATACAAAGCATGGAATTTTTTGATGGAAGTGATAACTTTACTGTTTGATTTGCTAACGAATGGTTTTTGTTTTAGTTTTCTGATTTCTGTTGAGGGCAGAATTCTTTGGTTTAGTTTCCCCTTCCGTTCCAGAAAGGGAAAATCAGGCGAGGCTACCTACTCCCTTATCTCGATATTTTAAGAACTAATGAATAAATATTAAATGCCTTCATAGTTTTGTTCTTTTGACTTTTCAAAGTCCATGCTCGGTCTCATAGCCAAATAGACCATTCACGTGGCGTCATGGTCCAGGCACACCCAGATCCCTACCTGACGTAAGGGCTTGCCACACGAGGGGAGCTAGCTAGGGTAAGACTGGAGCAACCAGTAAGGCCCACTCATAGGGATTTTGAATCTTTGCACCTTGCATGTTGGGCACCAGGGAGCCATGATAGACTTTTTTTTTAATGTGGTGTCAGTGAATCTGTTTTTTGAACTGTTGATTTGATGTGCTGAGTTGGATGGATGACTTGGAATAAGGAGAGTGTTTGACAAGCGGACAACAGTTAAGAGTTCAGGAGGAGAGTTGTCATTGGAACAATACGTCAGTCTTTAGTCTTTTGGCATGATTTAACCTGCATGACTAATGTAAGGCATTAACTGTATTTAAATTGTGCATCTGCAAAATTATTGTACTCCATCTTTTTTTTTTTAAGATTTATTTGAAAGAGGTACGTGGACAAGGGAGAGAAAAATAGAGATTTTCCACTTGCTCATTCACTCCTGGATGACGAGAATGGCTGGGGCTGGGTCAGACCTAAGCCAAGAACCGGGATTTTCTTCCAGGTCTCCCACATGAGTGGCAGGGACCCAAGTACTTGGGCCATCTTTCCATTGCTTTTCCCAAGCTGTTAGCAGGGAGCTGGACCGGAAATGGAGCTGCCACGACATGAACCGGCACCCACATGGGATGCTAATGCCAACAGGTCCCAATGCACTCATTCTTAGCTGCTGAGTACATCAACTGGAGTGTATAATTACCGTATCCAATAGTCTCATGTACTGTCGGTAGAAGACCTCATTGCATGTGCTTCATAACTTTGTGTTTTAACATTCAAGAAAGTTTATTCTTCCAGACAGTTAAGTTTATTTCTATCACAAGTATGAAAGGTATATATTATAAAAATATTCAAGCAGGGATGGACACTTGGCTTAATCACTGCTTATATGCCCGAATTGCATATAGGTGTGCCTGGCTCATAACCTGATTTCCCCAATTCTGATCCAGCTTCCTGCTGATGTGCCTGGGAAGGAAGTGGAGGACAGCCCAAGTGCTTGTACTCTTGCTACTCATATGGGAGACACAGATGGAATTCTGGGTTTCTGACTGTCTACGTATTAGGGGAGTGAACTGGGTGATGGAAGAAGTCTGTGTCTGTTTATCTGTATGTTTCAAATAAAATGAAAATAAAGGTTCATTTTAAATATGTCTTTACTGGGCCTGGCACCATGGCACAATGGTTAAGGTCCTAGCCAGGCACGCCCGGGATCCCATATGGGCACCAGTTCTAATCCTGGCAACCCCACTTCCCATCCAGCTCCCTGCTTGTGGCCCAGGAAAGCAGTCGAGGATGGCCCAAAGCTTTGGGACCCTGCACCCGCGTGGGAGACCCGGAAGAGGCTCCTGGCTTTGGATCGGCATAGCATGGGCCGTTGTGGTCACTTGGGGAGTGAATCATTGGACGGAAGATCTTCCTCTCTGTCTCTCCTCTCTGTATATCCGCCTTTCCAATAAAAATAAAATAAATCTTTAAAAAAATATATGTCTTTACTTATTGGAGAAACAGAGTGATAGAGAGAGACCATTCATCTGCTGATTCACTGCCTAAGTGGCCCGCCAACAGCCATGGCTAGACCAGACCAAACCAGGAGCCAGAAGCTCCACCAGGGTCCACATGCAGGTGCTAGGAACCCACTTTCCTAAGTACTTAGGCCATCACATGCTGCCTCCCAGGTATCTTAGCAGGACAGACAGATGATACGTTGCGGGATAGATTCAGAAGCTACCACCCTTTGTATTTCTCTCATTGAGTGATGAAAAATGCAATCCAGTGATTCATTTAATCACCCCGACTTAGAGGTCAGTGGTTTTCCTTTAAGAAGCTGTAACAACAGAGCACAGGGACTGTAGTGTAGTCGCGTCATCTTTGCTGATTATTTAACCATTTCCTTAATGGCGTGACCATTAAATTCGAAGAGAAGCTGCTATTTCATAGCCTGATTCAGATGAAGAGTTTGCGCTGCAGCCTAGAGAGCCTCGAAGACCAGCTGTCTAAGGAGACGATAAGTAAGCTAGCCAAAGCGTTGATGGGTCACCATGGCAGATTTTATCTGATACCTTCCCTCCTCCAATCTGCACATCATTAGCAAACATTGATGTCATTGTCCGAAACAGAACACTGACTCAGAGCGGAGGCTGCAAAGGTTCTGCCCAGGAGCGTGCGATGGTGCGATGCAGTGGTCCAGTGCTCAGGTGGACACATCTGCAGTCTCCCTTCACTCTGGGGCTTTGTGCTCATCCTGCCTTGTTCGTAACAAACACTGGAAGTGTGGGGGGCGGGGAGGAAGGAGTCAGGTGTGTTGTGTGTCTCCTTAACACCATGTGGGCTCTTCTGTATTCTTGGTTTTTCGATGCCTTAAGTAACTTGCTTTTCTTCATTTTGTACAGATCTCCGCGTGTTTCCTGACAGATTTGTGGTCTGTGTAAGTCAACTTCCAGTGGGCCGTGATCTTTTGCTCAGTCAGAAGGAAGAGCTGGTATGTATGAAAAGTTCCATGAATGAATCTTCTGAAGTGCCGAGTTATCCTAAAACAATGGAGAAAAAGATTTCTATTGTTTTTCAATGGTTGAGCATTCAGTGCGTATTTTCAAGAAACAAAAATAGCCTACCTATTTTGCATGGTAGAATTGATTAACGTGTGTGTTGACTGTGTTTCTTTCGCAAAGACCCCTTGAGTATTTAGTTTGATCAGCAGTACTTTTCTCATTTCAATGTTAAATGCGAAAATAACGTATCATGAAAAGTGATGGTACATTTGATAGTAGTGAGATGAAATGAAGCAAAATCCGCACATTTTCACTGCAAGCCTTCAGTGGGGTCAGTAGCTTTAGAATTTTATCCTGTGGTGAATCACTGACATTTTCGTGAGAACCAATGCTTCTCCCTAGGGAATGGTGTCATCGTTGATAGGATTCACACATGTACGCGTATGTTCTCTCTCTCTTTCTCCCTCCTTTCACCTCCCTAAACCTTGAGCTCTATTAGGACCTGTTTATATCTCATTGGAATTTTCTATTCAGAAAGACAGAGACATTTTGCCTGGGATATCATTGCTGACAGCCTTGTTTTTTGAACTTAACATTCTCTGTGTGTGTGTGTGTCTCCTTGTGCCTGTGTATCTTGCTGCAGCCACAGCCCTATCTACTAGAACTTGCCTCTGCACAAACTTTTTGGACACATGACTTAAAACTTTTACAAACAAGAATTAAAAAAAAAAATCCAGCAGGCATTAACCCGGCCATGAAGGATGACATGATTATTATGCTTCTAAAATAATTTATAAGGATATTAAATTACCCTTGGTGTTTATTATTTTTAAAATCCATATGAAATTTGAAATTTGGCCCACATAGTCTAAAACCAACTTCTTATCTCATCTTAAATAAATACATAATAAGAGTGTTTCAGAGGCTACAAAGGGTGAGCACAGACCCAGGAACCAACAAAGAACAGAGAACTCATCTTTACATTGAAATGCCTTCATGTAGACCAGGGCAGTGATTGCAACAATCTCACTGCAGAAGCCAGTGTGACTCACATTTCTTCTTCACCCATCAATAAAACTTTTCATGTACACATTACATTAAATAAATGGAACAGATTTGGCAAAAAGCATTTAAAGTCTAGCCTTTGAAAATTCTCAAGGATGTTGAATTATCTTAGTAAATTAGTAAATCCTAAAGTAGTAATGCTGTTGGCATGTGACTGTAATGTAATATAACTTAACTGATTCTCAGAGCAAGGGAAAAATTGATGTATGGTTTAAGGAGACAGCAATTAACTGTACCAGAACGTATTATTGCTTTCAGATGGAAAACAGGAGAAATTAAATCTTGTATCTGATATGTAATATTAATATTTGGTATCTTAAATTATTAAGGGAGAATTGAAATATCTCAATACAAATGAAATGTTATCCTCCGCTGGGGCCCTGGTATTTATACAGATGTAAGTTTTCTCTAGCTGCTGTCGTATAAATCTTATAATCTGGAAGACTTCCTAAATGGTGAGAATTTTCATGCTGAAAAGTTGACCAGGCTGAGAATTTTCTCTGAGCGAGTTCAGTTTTCTTATCTTTAAAATGTTCGAGTATCTAGCAATACCAGTTTGTGTTCATACTGGCCAAAGGGCAGGATCCATCTCATTTTCTCTGGGTGATGAGAATCAGGGAGCTTCTGTGTGGGCAAGGCCATTTTTCCTGTGCAATTGGCTATATCGGAGATACTTCTTGAACAATCAACTCCCCTTTTTATTCTGTGATGACTTATTTAACTCATTTTTGCATGCCAACAGACGTGACAGAAGACACCCAGGTCCTGAGTGAGCATGGATTCCTTTTCCTCCACTTTTTCTGCCCCTTTTTGGATCCACACTGTGTAACAGCTTATTAGGAAATGCGCGAGTGGTGGTTCAGAACCACTCTGCCAACGGCCTCGTGGAGCCTGTAGACAAGGAGGCCAGCTGTGCTTAGCTCCTTGCTTCCTCACAGTGGCTGCACAAAGGATCCTTGGGCACCCACCAGAAGGGACAAAGGGAACCCTCTCCCGCCCGTGCAGAGCCGGTGCCTGTGGCCCGGCAGCTGCTGTTCCCCGTCCGCCCAGCCCTAGGAAGGCCTGTCTCCAACTCAGCGACATGGCGCGGGGAGATTGTTGCAATCACTGCCCGGAGTACCCAGGCTGCAGGGATGTGGGAACTGAGATGTGTACTTTGGGAGGAAAGGGCATTATTATGAAGTGAGTCATTGTATTTTTCTTACTAAAGTTTCTCATAAGAACTCTGCAAACCCTTGCAGCCCCAGCTTCTGACCCAGTGCTGGATATGGAACTGGAGGTCGATTGAGAGTCTTTACATTTAGTTTTTGCTGCTGTTTTTTTTTTTTTTTGCCCTTACCTGTTTTCCCTTAAAAAGTATGAAGAACTTAAGTAGTCAGTTATGTTCCATTTTAACAGTAGTTTATTTCTTTTTTTTCTTTCTTTTTTTTTTTTTTACAAACCCAAGTCCCTAGGTACCGACTGTTTTCCTTCCCAGACAGAAAACCCTGGAGCCTCTGGGAAATTATAGATTATTTATTGTTTCTATTATTTCCTTATTAACATTGTATAGATAACCGTGGGACAGTTCAGGAGTAGCACAGAGCCACTCCTTCACCGTGTCTTGGGTGCAGCCACCCATGTCGGCCCCGGGAGAGCACCCCACCACCACCACCACCACCTTCCATTTTCCCATCTGTTCTGATGGCTGCCTGTTAACATCATCTGCTCAGTACTGGCTCTGTGTCAGAATCTCTGACAGGCACTAGGAAGACAAAAGTTTTCAAATGCTTTTGCCCTCAAGTAGCTTGCAGTCTGCAGGTCCGTGTGAAATCGGGGACGTCCCACAGATTGAAAAGTGCAGTTCCGTTACTTCCAGAGATGAGCGCACGTTGTGCTGGTGCCTTTCATAGCTCCCTTAGGGATTGCGTGCTATGCAGACGGAAAGTCCAGAATTCTAGACTGACTTTGTCACTTTTAAGCTTACACGGTCGAAGTCGGTGACTCTTGTGGAGTGTTAGCGCTGCCTCCCAGTGCGTAGGTGTGTTAACATGCTTGGAGCTCTTCCTTTTGCTTTGTTTGCGATGCGGCTGGGAACAGAACTGGGGAGGTTCTGGAGACACAGCCTGGTGGGGGGGGGGGCTGGGTCCCTTCTGTGACGCCAACGGGGCGGGGGGGGGGGGGGGGATTACCAGCACATCCTGACGAGACCACGTGCAAGCAGAGTTGAATGCTTCTGTCAACTCAGACTACTGGGTGGCCTTGAAGAATTCTTTCAGTTTATGAATATAAAACTGAAGCGAAAATGAGTCTGGAGCAATAAGCTCCTGCCTGCCGGCCGGGTTATTTTTAGTTAAGCCATTGTATTCCTCAGCTGTGTGTAATCCAGCCTCTGTGGACTTTGGTCCTACTCCTGTTGGGGGGCGGAAGTGGGAGCGGGGGGGGGGGGGGCTATCAAATTATCTCAAGACTTTCTCATGCAGAAATTCTGTCAGAGGGAACAGGCAGAAAATGTAGCTAAATAAAAACTCCAGGGATTTTCTACAGAATAACTTTACTTGTATATTTTCAAACTGTCATTAAGAAAAAAAAAAGATTGAGGGTGGAGTTATATTCTTAGGAAAGCTAAAAAAGAAATTATAAGGAAACATTTCGGGCATTATTTAATGCACTTAGCAGTTTGATGACGCAGTAACTGTTGTACCCGAGGACAGCTTCTTTCACTTTTATAAGGGAGCTTTATCAGAGCTATAAGTCAGTCCCTTCCAGAAAAGGTCTCTAAGTGGTTGTTGGTTTGTTTTTTTTTTTTTTATGTACTAGAAAGATTGCATAAGTCACAGGTGACTGTTCCAGTGTCGTAGACTTTACAAATCCAGGCTCCTCGTGTGTGTTGTGCGTCCTGAGCCATGCTGCTTTATGCATCACACAGAAGCCCCTAACAAGACAGTCCTGCAGCCTAGGAAAAGTTCCTTAAATGAGGGAGAAACTGTTCCCATATTTCACATTTCCCAGGGTGTTCTGATCTTAGTATTTACTGACTAGCTCATTACCAAAATTGTACACGTTCACTGTTGCAAAATTGTTTCAATCCAAATATATACATAGAAAATAAAAACTATCTTCAACTCCCAACCCAAAGGTAAAACCTCTGTCCCTGATATAATCTGTGTGTGTCTGCTAGAGCATGCTTCATAACTGGTCAGCGTGCACTTACTGTAACCAAGACCCCATTCGTGACTGTGTACCCAGATTTCTTGTTGATGCTTTTTTATATTTCACAAATTCCATGTTACGTCAAAACTCCTTGTATAGCAAGGAAATCCACTCTGAATGAGTTGAGTACTTAACCTTTCAATTATGTTTTACTACTGTATGGTGGAAGTCTGTATCCCCAGATTTATGCTTTCCACAATGATTACTGGACAATTTGGGGGTTATGTTTTTCAAAATTAGATTTTTGCTTTTGCTCTTATGCTATTTTTTATGGGACTTCATTTAGTTTATAGTGTGAGATCCTTCTTATTCTAGAGCAATCTGCATTGTACAAATTATGGTCTTTAGGCTTATGGGGCAGCCACGCTTGTGTGTGCCCACCATTGTGTCCTCCCTGATGAAAGTGAGGATCTCTAGGGACCAGGCTCCCCTTTTGTCTGTCAGCAGAAGGCCTTCAAAGGTGTCTTGAAGGGTGGGCCATTGTTCTTGGAGAAGGGCCTTCCCACCTGCCTTCATGTGCCTTCGTGTAGTGAAAAGATGGGATGGAGGAATGGAGGTATTTTTGCAGCACTCTCCTTTTCTGTCTCCACTTGCCAACTCAGCTTCATTTTGTAGCCGTCAAAACTGAATGATCAGAGATGGGTGTTACGGCTGAGCAGGTTCCCTGCATCCCAAATCAGAGTGCCTGGGACTGAATTCCACCTCTGCTTCTGATCCAGTTTCCTGCTAATGCACCTGGGAGGAAACAAGTGATAACCCAAGAACTCGGACACCTGCCGCCCATGTGGGAGACCCAGATGGAGTTCCTGACTCCTAGTTTTAACCTGGTCCAACTCTGGCTCTTTTAGGAATTGCAGAATGAACCAGCAGATGAAATAATTCACTCTCTCACATGCACTCCTTTGCCCCCTCTCGTTTTTTCTTCCCCTCTCTTCCTCCCTCTCCTTTTCTGTTTCTCTCCCAGTCTTCCTCCCTGCACCTTTCTTTTTGTCAGTGTGCCTTTCAAATAATTGATAAAAGTATAAACAGAACAGAAAGAACCCAGTTAAATGCTGTCACTTCCACACACTGCCCTAGATATGCTGAGATATGGTTTTGTAGGAAGGACCCAGTCAGTTCTCTGAGATACATCTGAATTTAAAAAAAAAAAAAAAAAAAAAAAAAAACCAACAGACTGCTCATGCTGTTCAGAATACCTCCGGCCTCCAGCCTTAGCTCAGGCAAAGTCGGATGTATGAGTGGATTGTGTTTGAAAGTTCACTGGGAAACAGATGATTTAGAATTCAGTACCCATTTTCCCAAGGAAACAATGTCATCATTGAAGATGAGGTTCCCAGACTAGGCCACAAAAGCTGCTACTATCGTGAGATCTGAGTCTTGGAAAGAGGGGCTCTCTGTTCAGGGGCGAGGGCGAAGGCTGTTGCTTCCATGTTGCTGGGCCAAGGCCAGCACGGAGCAGAGTGCGGAAGGAGACCGTCAGCTGTGATGTCTTGTCTCTGGCCCTCCTCCCTCTTTCCCACCAGTGCCCTTTGCTCCTGGGACTCCCTTAGAATAGCCTTGTCACTTGCATGACTGTACCAGTATCTTAACCCACCTGTCATCCTTTCTGGACCCAAATGCTTGGTCCTGTAAGGGGTAATGAAAGAGATGACCACCCTGAATGAAGGGCTTGGCTGTCTTCCTGCATTGTCGGCATTTTTATTATTATTATTTTCAACCACAGGCCTTTGTTGGGGGAAGGGGACCCCCAAGGGCAAAACAATGCCTTGGGTGGTGTCCATGAAATCTCTCATTTTAACAAATGTTTCCCTTCTTCTTATAAACTGAGGGTTATTAAGCTGTGATTCATGAATTCCCTGAAATAAAAAAAATAGTTTGTATATTTTATAGTTTCTTTGATCAAACTTCATTAGGATTCACCCAGTTCTCAGGTCATCCCAGTGATAAGCAATGGTCCAGACACATGGAGTCTCCAAGATGCCCCTAGTGCTGTCACACTTGTATGCTCCCAGCGACTCAGCAACTTGAGGCAGGGGCAGTTAGGTCTGGATGTATGTTTAGATTCTTAAGAGCAGGTGAGTCCAAAATGAAAAATCTCTGTACACTTCCTGTAAAATAACCTACTTGACTTTTGTTTTTACTGCTTGCGTTTTTAAGGAACCATCTTTTGTTTTGTTTTGTTTTGTTTTAATTTTTTTTATTGTTATTAACATTGTATTATGTGATACAGTTTTATAGGCACTGGGAAGGAACCATCTTTTGTAACTACATGCTGCTGCTTCCCTAGATATATACAACAGTTTAAATTACAACTCACACCAGTGTGAGTTGCTGCAGCAGCAGCTGGCTCCTAGCTCTCCTAACTTGTAGATTCCCATCTGAGAAATGAAGGCCTGAGACATGGGGTCAGAGGTGGGTAGAGTGGACAGCCTGCCCCTCTTGGTTGGAATCCTGCAGTTGGGAAGAGTGTGGCATGGCATTTGCCAGGTGTAAGCCCCAACACCCAGCCCTGTTCCCACTACATCTCAGGATCAGGCGTGCACTATCCTGAGCTATGGAGCAGACACCTGCAGTCCCAGGGGCATTCATAAGCCCCTGCTCTCCTTCGCGCTTCTCCGCCTTGGGGCTTCTGTTCCTTTGAGTCCACTGACTGTACAGCTCTAACCTTCTTTCTCAGTTGTCCATTACCATTCTGTTCCACTTGTTTTTCCCTCTTTAAACTTCCCTAACTTATTTTCAAATAATTGAAGAATGTATTAGAAGTGAAATTTGAGAAAGAAACTCCTTCCTCATTTTAAAGACTTGTGGCTTCTGCGTGGTCACATCGTGGTTGAGGACTGTGGTCATCATTGCATTTAGGTTCTTGGCTTCGTCTGTCACTGTAAGTCACCCATACCTTCAGGCCTGCCACAGCAAGAGGACAGTCATTCTTTTTGCCTTCTTATAATGAAATCATAAAGAATTGAAAGTAGTTCTACTTTTATATCTTATTATTCAGTGCCTCAAAATAAGCTAACACGGCATTACACTTTTGCTCTGCTTTTATTGTTTGCAAAAGGCTGTAATTGTTTGCAGAGTGCAGAGGCCTGTCACATACAATAACTTATTCAGTGTAACAGACCTGAAAGGAGATTGTATCAGTCTTGAACTTTTTTCATTTTCAAAGGACAGGAAGGCCAACTTTAAAATGGCTTAGGGAAAAAAAAAAAAAAACAAGTTTTGGCTCATGTCCCTGAAAAATCCAGTTCAGGTACAGTTTGATCAGAGGCACCAGATTATCATTCAGACTGTTTCTAACCACATCTGGCCCTGCCTTCCAACCGTGTTGACTTCGTTCTCAGCCCGTATGAGGTGCTTAGTCCAGGAAGCTCCGGGTTCATACCTGCCAGGTGTCTGCCCAGGACAGCTGTGCCCAGGCTTGTCTTTGAGGTTCCTAAATCCAGTCTCTGTGCTCCTATTGGCTTAGACTGGGGCATAGGCTGCTTTCCACAGTCAGCTGTGGAGACAGATATCCCGTACATTAGCTGATCCTTGGGTGCAGGGCGAGAGCATGATTCCCCAGGTAATATTTGAGTATCCCTTCTCCAAAAAATCATTAAGCTTCCAATATAGAAATATTATCTTCATTCCTTATTTATGGATGAGAAAACTAATGCTCAATGAGGTTAAGTTTGTTATTCAAATTTTCAGTCTTGTGTTTCCTGTCAAGTAGTGGCAGTACCTTCCTGCTGAATACACATGCAGACAGAGGAGAGCTTTGGAATAGGGGACGTTGAGAGCCACAACCCTGTATGGCTTGTGAAGATATCAGATTTTCTCTTTCAATAATTTCAACATTTTTTCAATCATTTCTGCTCCCAGTGTATGCTTCACATACCCACGTCACTGTATTTATGTTTTCCAATGAGTCCAGAGAAGTAGTTAAGGAACCATCAAAGGGTGAAGAGACTGGCCTAGGAACAAAGCAACAAATGACTGTGAGACCCAGGACACTGCTGCCTCACCTCTGTGCTCATTCTGCAAGTGTCAGCTCAGGGTTTCCTTCTCGGTGCATGTGATCATGAAGGATTGAGAGTGATAACGTTTTGAATATACTCTAAGATTCTGTATTCCATTATTCTGTGAATAACCCACTTTTAAAATATTATGGTTGAGTCATTGTCATCTGAGAGAAAATTAAATGTCTTCAGAAGAACAGCACATGCGTAAACATACATTTTTAAAAAAATAGAATTATATCTCACAAGATGAAGAAATGAGAATACCACCTATTTACATTAAGTGTTATCTTGAAATTATCTTGATAGCACTGAAAAGCTTTTCTGCCTTTATATGCTTTGCAGTCCTGAAAATGAGAGTTTATTGTGCTAACTCCTGTTACATGCCTCTGGAAGTGATGGCAGCAATGCTGGGGGACCACAGAGAGTGGGCCAGGTGAGGAAGATCAGCAGTGACTGGCTGGTACACCCACAGGGCTCTTGTCATGATCGCCAAGGATTGTACCGTCTCCCCCAGTATCAGTTGAGTCTACAGGGTGGTGCTGGTATGCCAACTGTAGATCTTTTCAACACAGACCAGTTTGTCAGATGAGTAGTGGTATTGCCCACCCAACTTGTTTGTTCATGTTGAAGCAGGTCTCGGTGGGCAGCATCCAACTCTGGGCTGCATAGTAATACCAAAGGTTTACCAAATCTCATGGAAAATGCGTATTAGGAAAAAACTGTTTTGAGCTTTACTATTTTTTTTTTTACCAAAATATACTAATGTGTTATAACATGTCTGAACAGGATCTAGTTTGAGGCCGTGAGAAGGATGAGAAGTACATTTGGAAAGAGACTCAGCACAACAGGACTTCTGTTAAAAATCCAAGCAAGAAGAAATATCACATTGATTATGAAACATGGGTAGAAAAGTGGTGAAATCATTGATGCTGTATGAAAAGCTTATGTCCCAGAGAAATCAGCAATTTAAGAAGTGGTAAGATAATTTTGAAGAAGCAGCCTGCAGCAACAGACCATCCAGATACATTTGTTTAGAAAAACAATAAATCTTTTTTCATGCCCCAGTTGAAGAGCAGTAGTTGACAAAGCAAACAATGGCTAACACCAATGAGTATCTCATTGAATTCCACTCACACCAAAAATAAAATTGAACAAACTTTCTGCTCCAAGAGTGCCAAAACTGATGCATCCACATCACCTAGAGGCAAGCAAAACTTTCTATGGAAATTTTGAACACAGAAAATCAAGATTCCGAAGCCTTTCTTCCAGGAATTATAATACCAACTATGGCTTTACCAGTACAATCCTGAAACGAAGCACAACCAAAACGATGGTTACCAAGAGTGCCCTGGCCATGCGTATGAACAGCACTGCTCATGTCAACAGTTCCTTGAGGTGCTTTAAGGGTCTTGTTTCTGGCGTTGCTGGAGTGCCAGAGAATAATGCCATCTGCTTATTAGGAGAGTGTTTTGACAATGCTGAACTTACAGCAGAAAAACTCTCCAGCAAAGTGTTACCAAAGAGTCTTCTACCACACAGCTTATGCTCACTCCTCCCACCCAACAGGGGCGGTTCTGCCAACGTCTATGGAAAATTGTTACACATCCACCTCACAGTCCTCATATGGCTCCCTCTGACTCATTTTTGTTGCATAATTTCAAGTAAAGGTAAATCACATCCATTTTTCTTCGGATAACAATGTAAGAGATCATCCTGTCATAGTCAAATCCCCAGGACCCGCGGTTTCTCAGACGTGGATTGGATGACCTCTGTTATTGTTGCTTACAAAGCTGTCTTGAATTTGATGGAGGTTGTGTTGAAAAATAAAGTTTGTATTTTTATTTTTATCTTTTTGTATCATGTTTGCACAAATAGTTTGAAGTCCCTTCATACTCTGTGTTGAAGGTGACATTAGTGCGTGCTGCTCCATCTCTGTCATATTTCAAAAGTCTCCTAGATCTGTTCTGGCCGGCACTGAAGCCTTTGACAACATTTGGCTATGCAGCATTTGAAATATGAGTCAGAAATTATGTACTGTTAGTATAAAATACCCACCTGACTGGCAGGCTAGTATATAAAATAGTGACCACATATGATGACAATTTTTTAAGTGAAGTTTAATTTCACCAGTTTTCTTTACCTTTGTAATGAGTCTGTAGAAATTTCAAGTTACTTAGGTAGTCTACTCTGTGTTTCTGCAAGTGCGTTCTGGTCTGTAAGTCCCTCCTGACTCCTTCTCGGGTTGGGTCCCGATCCTCTACTGAAAACATATCTTCCTTACTGAAATGCCTGTCAGGGTCACCTTCCATCTAGTGGTCACTTTTCATACCTAACAGGTCAGCAACATTTCACACAGTTGTCCGTTCATCACTTTAATTTGTCTCTTGCCCCTGCAGAATCATGTTATCTTGATTCTATTTCCAGTCTAGCCACTTCTTCCCACCGCCCACCTCCTCCAAGACCCATCATCTCTGAGTGGACCATTGCCAGGGCCTCATTCCTCATTTCCATGTTCCTACCCTTGTAACGATCCTTTAAAAATGGCCATTTTGCTGCTGCTGCTTATCATCATCACAGCCACACGTGTCTTTCCACAAAAGCCATAAAAGATCGACCGTTTCTATCACCAGTTCTCTCTCCCTCTCCTTCCTTACCCCTCTTATCTGTCCCCTGTTGCTCCATCCTTTCGGACAGGCCTTGGTATTCGCTCTTCCTCCTCTGCTGAAGTTACTTGTCCTGCACTCGGGTCTCTGTGGAAAGCTCACCTCGATACCAGCCACAGCCTTCCCTGAGCCTGTTTCTAACTTGGCGTTCAAGGTGAGCCTTCGGCCTAGTGGCTAAAACACTGCTTGGGACAGCAGAATACACATCAGACTGCCTGGTGTTAAAATCTGGCACCACGCCTAATTCTTGCTAATGTATTCCCTGGGAGGCAGCAGCGAGGGCTGAAGCTGTTGAGTCCCACCCTTGGGGGAGATTGGTTTGGGTTCCTAGCTCCTATTTTCAGCCTGGCGCAGAGAACTATTGCAGGCATTTGGAAGTATTCTCGCTTGCTCTTTATCTCTTTTTAACGTAAATAACAAAATAGCATCTCATGATCTTTGACATTTATTTGAACACCATTTAACACCTAACATCAAATGTGGTTTGTCTAAACTTGGGAGATAGAAGCTCTAGGAAATCCAGACCTTTGGTCTGTGGGTTTTTGTGCTGGCCTACGGGCCTCAAGCAGTGCCTAGTACAGAGTGCAGGGCTGCCTGGTTGAACACGGCCACACTGACTGCCTGTGCCTGTGGAATGCAGGGTCCCTAATTCAGCTGGCAGTCGCAGCCCCTAGAGGTCCAAATTCTGGGGAAGAATCTGAAAACTTTCTCGTAAACTCTCCAAGTGACTTTGATTTTCACAGGGCTATGCTTTATATAGTGCTGTTTCACTGTGTCAGTGTGTGTGTGTGTTTACCCTTTACCTTCTCTAGTGTTCCTTCATACATACCTCTATCAGAAATTCTTAGGCCTGGCGTGGTAGCCTGGTGGCAAAATTCCTTACTTTGCGCGCACCGGGATCACATATGGGTACCAGTTCTAATCCCAGTAGCCCCACTTCCCATCCAGCTCCCTGCTTGTAGCCTGGGAAAGCAGTGAAGGATGACCCAAAGCTTTGGGACCCTGCACCCATGTGGGAGACCAAGAAGAGGCTCTGGGCTCCTGGCTTTGGTTTGGCCCAGTTCTGGCCATTGCGGCTGCTTGGGGAGTGAACCATCTGATGGAAGATCTTCCGCTCTGTCTCTCCTTCTCTCTGTGTGTCTGATTTAAAAAACAAAAAAGGAAAGAAAGAAAAAGAGGTCATTAAAAAAAAGTTCTGAGTCACCTGGGAAGCTGTACATACCTCCTGGAGCCCCACCCTCGATGTTGTGAAGTAGAACTTCCAGGAATTCATCTTGGGGATCTTGTTTTTAAGATTTGTTTATTGTTATTGGGAAAGCAGCTTTACAAAGGGAAGGGGAGGCAGAGAGAAAAATCTACCATCCACTTCCGCAGTGGCTGCAACAGCCAGAGCTGAGCCAGTCCAAAGCCAGGAGCTGGCAGCTGCTTTCTAGTCTGCCACACAGGTACAAAGTCCCAAGGACTTGGGAAATCCTCCTCTACTTTCCCCGGCCATAAGCAGGGAGCTGGATGGGAAGTGGAGCTGCCAGAACCTGAACTGGCACCCATATGGGACGCCGTGCATGGAGGTGGAGGGTTAACCACTGGAGTCATTGCGCTATCCCTCCCACCCCAAAGAATCTGTTTTTTTTTAAAACTCCCACAGCACCTTAATGCAGCCATCTTCCACTTGCCTTTTGGATCTAAGCTGTGTTTTACAGATTCCTTAAAAAGTAGCTGGAAGGCCTGGAGTGTTTGTGTGTGTGTGTGTGTGTTATTTTAAGCCAACTTCTTTTCCCAGCCACCATTAACTCAACATCGTTCTATTCAAAACTGTCGTTCAATAAGTCATAGAGTAAGCTCCTGGGTTTACTCACAATTTCAGCATGCATTTGTGAGTTTTGAAGTGAACATCAGCCCTCATTTCAAACCAACCCACTGTCTGTTTACAGGCAGGAATACCCATTTATTCTGGTCTGGATTCTCTTTGTATTCCTTTCTGTCCAAGGATTTAAGAGTGTGTTTGCCAGGTCACCCACCATGGTATTCAAACACGCCCCACCTTCCCCTGGGATCTGTACTAGGATACAGGTGAGTCGGTCGTCAAGCCTGGGGTGCGTTCCCAGGGGAGGAGAAAAGGCCTGACACCTTGCTCCAGGGTCTGCAAGGGCTGGTTAACTTGCCTGGGAATGGTGTCTTCCTGGACTTAAGCTTTTGGGGCTCTGCATCTGTTAGGGCTTGCCCTGGAACTGCATATCGGCACTCTATAGGTAGTAGTTTTAAATCTGAAATTTTTACAATATCATTAAAATGGGGCTAGGACAGGGATGAAGTGGGTGGCCAAGAATGGAGTACCCCAAGGAATGATGCATGCAAACCAAGAGCCAGTTTCCAGGTTGTAACGAGTCCTTTGTAAAGATCCCCAGAGATGCTGCTGATTAATCTATTTCTTAAATACCTGGGTCCCCATGGGGTGCTGACTTTGCACTTAAGATGACCAGGCCAGAGGTTTAAGGGGTGTGCTGGACTTATTTATAGTCTCTGCAGATGGTGACTACAAAATCTCGAAAGCTGGTGGCGGCGTCGTGTAAGCCCAGGAGGCACCTGCAGCCTTCTCAGGGCGTGCTGCATATGTGCACCTTGGAGTTGAGCCTTGGAAAAAGCTGCAGATTGCATTTGGATGCCAAATGTGAGGAGCCATTAGTAATCAGGACAGCTCCCATGGGGAAATGCTGGTTTCAGATAATAGCTGTGTCCTCAAGATTGCTTGCTGCTGGGAGGGGAGAGGGTGACACGTTGGAAACTGGGTTTAGTGACAACGGGAAGCGAACTGGCCCTGGAAGTGTAAGAATAAGAGATTTCTAATGAGACCTGACAGTTCAAGAGCTGAAGGAGGCTACTTTTTTTTTCTTGCCCACCCAGTCTTCATACAAATGTAAATATGCCTCCTTGGACAAATTGCCAAATGTGGTTTTAATTTGTAAACAGGAGATCCTGTCTGGTCTCCCTGCTTCCTTTTTTTTTTTTTTGTTTTCACCAGAGTTAAGTCACAGGTTTTGCAGCTTTTGAAGTGGACCTTTCTCCTCTGATTGCTCTGTCACCTTTTCTGCTGTCCCTTTCTTCTGAGGACACTTCTCCCCTAGTGTGGTCAGCGGAATTTGGGATGAGAGATGAATGGCAGCCCTGTTTGTTCTTAAAGAAGTTTTTGAAGTTACCAAAGGAAATATAGAGAGCTCTTTAAACTGAGCTTGAAAGATAAATAAATAAAGGCAGTGATTAAATCCAATATGAGATTGGAAGCGAGTGTCACTGTCACGGCA